AAGTATTATCTGTTTCCAATTGCAAAGGTTCGAATCTTGCTAGTAGCAAAAACCAAAAATGTTAATCCCCAAAACAAGACATGTATAATTGAGGTATTTCAAAATACCTTTTTTTTCCCATTTTCAATTGATCTTGGGCTAAAAGAATGTTTTAGGTCTGTTTATATCAAAAAAACAAACACACTCTTGTTTGGGCAGCTTCACAATCCAACACTGTTGAAGTCCTCCGCTGCTTCTACACCTGAAAATCCCCAGGACGTTTCCTCGGGGAAAACACTCCAACGCTCAAGTCAATAATACTCAATATTCTAGAGAGAGATGCTCTCAATGAGTAATTGTAGAGAGAGAAGAGTAGAGATTAATTACCTTCATTGGAGGTAGTTGGGAGGTATTTATAGCCCTTGGTGCTGACATGCATCTGTAGATGTAAGCATCTCATTGGCCCACGTGGCACTGGTCACGTGGGTATGCTTGCACCAGTGCTCCCTCAACTTGGGCTAATGCCTAGGCCCGTTATGCACAACCCAATTTGGATGTTGGGCCTATTCCAACATTACTCCCCCCCCGGTGTTCGATTGACGAATTGTGTTGGATGTGTCTATGGCCCAACGTTCGACCTGGTGACTAGGGTGGATGAGCTTAACAGCTCGCGACCGACCTCGATGATGGCCGATCTGAAGGGTGGCAGTAAATGATGGGAGCTTAAGAGCTTGAAAGCGTGCAGGCGAGCTGATATTCGCAATCTTACCAACGTGAAGTCGGTGTATCGGCGAGCTGAAGTGACTCACAAAAGGTAGGCATGTTTGGTGAATGACCACGCGCTTACATTTAAAGTGTTACTCGCTATTCCAGCGAGCTCACCTACATTAACATGAGAGCGAGCAGATGCGTGGCGACCTGAATCTTGGACACTATCAAAGGTTTCGAGGTGAACGAGTAATGCTCATTCGAACATAGGAGCGATCTGAGATGAGCCGACCTCAACCACAGAATGACTTGAGATTGCTGAATAGACATGGCGACGAAACCGAGTTACAGCAAAATGAACCTCAAACGACCTGTGATTTTGGACGAGCGATGATTCTTCTGTCGATCTGATAAATGTGGTCGCTCTGACGAGCCGGGATGGACGGAAGAAGGGACAGACCAACCTGTTACGACCTGAATCTTAGGGAATTTTAACAAATGATCTGTGATTTTAGACAAGTTGTCATGTTCGTGACGACCTAGTAAATGTGGTCATGATTACGATTTGAATCTTGGGGATTTTTTGAGTCAATCAAATCTCCTGAATCAAATCTCTGAGGAGATACGGTTGATCTCCCCGTATCTCTCTGCCTTCCTCGCCATAAATGCTGGCTCAGCATTTGAGGGGACGTGACAGTTAAAGCCGGTGCACGCTACACAAAAGGGTTAAACGCATGCCACGTGTGAGATGCGAATTGGCGCATCAGAGACACGCACACGGCAATTAACACTGTTATATCTCTCTTTGCATAATCGTTCCCTTTTCCATTTTCATTTCATTGTTTGCTTGAAATCTTCTAAAACTCTCCGTAGCGAAACACTCCGGCTTGAAGAACAGATTACCAGACCACACGCTTCAACTTCGTATCACTTTCAGGTAAAATGGATTCCGTTAGAGGGTTGATAGAGCTACAAGGTAACCAGGGTAGAGAAGGAGAAGAGGGGGGGTTATATCTGTAGAACCTATCACGATGATAGTGCCGCCGACGTTGCAGGATGTGCCGAAAACAATGACGCCTGAAAGCAGCGCCAGTTTGAGTGCTAGGTACAACGGTGGCGACCACCCTACTGCATCGTCGAGCAGCTCGTCTGAGGAGACACCTAGCTGTGAGGAAAGGATGGGGGATGTGATGAGCAACGTCTCAGATCGGCCTGTGAGTGAAGAGTGGGAGAGCAAGACAATCACGGGCAGGTTGAGCAACCTGCGAAAGGCGCCAAAGGATTTGCCCGCTGGATTTAGGTTCAGGGCGGCACTGCATCATAAAGTAGCAGACAAGTGGGTACAGAAAATTGGAGGATATGGTGAAGGTGTACCACATTCCCCGGACCATATTGCTACGAACAGGCGCACCGAATGAGAAGGCTTGCACGGTGTCACAGACGGGCTGGATACCAGTATATATGGATCACTTTGACGCCGGCCTGCAATTTCCCATGCCCGGATTGGTGTTCGACCTGCTGGTGGATTACGAGCTAGCCCTGACACAGCTGACGCCCAACAGCATAAGGTTCATCATTGGCTTTATGCTGTTGTGTTTGTGGTTAGAGATACCGGCCAAGGCGATCGTGTTCAGGTCTCTGTTTCAATGCTGGCTGTGTCCCAACTCCAGAGGCGCGAAGTGGTATTACCTCTCTGAAAGAGAGAAGAGCCAATTGTTCAAGAATGTAAGAAATAAAGTGGCGAGGTGGAAGAGGCAGATACACGAGCAGAAAGAATAAGCAACGACCTCGCTGCTCTACTATCTGAATGGCGTGTGCCCAATGCACACGTCAATTATCCTCAGCTGCTGCCTCGGGACACGGATATAAAAAACCGGCTGCTGGAATACACGAGGGGGGAAATTTTGGTAGATCTAGATGCCCTGGTTACCTTGGAGCAGCTCGCCGTATTTGGGTTTGTCGACGTGGCAAACCTGTTCACTGAAGGTATACTTTTATTGTATATTCTGAATTCTAGCTGAGGTGAGTCTTATGTATTTGTTTGTGTAGGAGAAATAAGCAGCATACTGGAATGCCAACGTTAACGAGCCCAGGGCTCACGAGGTCGCCCAGTGTGCAGCACCTCACACAAACAGACACGATTTGACGAGCGGCCGCCCCCAACGCCACAATCACACAGCTTGTCACACCGTGGATCGAGCTCAGCGTCTAGGCCTCGCGCCGATCAACGGGCTGACACCGTAGCCCCTAGTGCACGGCGACAGGCGCACGAGGAGACGGACAGCAAAGATGACGTCCCCCTTCTGCAACGCCGAACAAGTGGTGGGACTCAACTGGCATAGGCGGCTCAACCGGCGGCTGCGCGCTTATCGAACGCGCCCTCTGCCACGGCGCGAGCAACAGTAGAGCCTGCATCTGCATCGGCCTTAGTGTCGGCGCCTAGGATCACGTATCCTGACGGCTTCAGCTACGTGAAGCCGGAGTGCCAGCCCGCCATGATGCAGGGCATGCAAAGCTTCGTGCCGCCGGTGGATCGGCAATGGGCAAAGAGCTACGTGCAACAGCATGGCAGGCAGGTCACCATGATCAAGCTAATGGACGTAAGTATCCCTTTATCTACGGCTATCACTTGTGTGATTATTCTGCTATTTCACCTAATAGACTAACAACTGATGCTGTCTGGTAGGCATTCAGCTATGTGATTGCGATGTTCGAGAGCGAGCAAGGGGCTCACTCTCAGAATAACGAGCTCAGCGCTAACTGTAAACAGCTGGCCGCAGAAAAAGCCAGCCTTGTGGATGACGTCAATCGTCTACAAGGCTCGGAGATGGCCAACCACGCAGCCGCAGTGGAGAGTCGAGCAGAAATGCTCGCGAACAAGAATAACGAGCTCAGGGAGGAGCTGGATTGAGCCCGCGCCGAAAAAGAAAGCGGGATCCAGGCGGCGAAGGATGAGGCCGCCCGTGTTGGGGAGCGGGCCAGCAAAGCTGAAGCCGAGCGGGACAATGCGTTGAACGAGCTGCGTTCCCTAAGGAGTCAGGTCGCCGACGCCACCAGGAACCTCAATACAGCTGAAGAGGCCTTGAGCAAACTGAAAGCGTCTCACGGGCGCTCTGTGAGCATGGCCCGCGTTCAACGTGCGGAGTGGTTGGTGGGCTCGGCCGCATTCCAAGACGCAGTGGTAGTGGTGGTGGCGGTGGCATCTACGAACATGACCACGGAGATCTACAATGAGATCCGTCGTAAGGTGCTGCACCATCGCCCGGACTTCCCCATACGCGAGTTGGCGCTTTTTGATGGGGAAGACATTGACGAGCAGGGTAAGAGCCTTGCTCCCCTCGCTGACACAACAGTACGGCTACGGTGGGACCTGAACGAGGAGGGAGTACCCATCTGGCCTCCCTTAATCTTAGAAGAGGGGGAGGATCCAATGGGGATGCCCTCCTTTGACGGATGGGTGGAAGGGGCTCTTGTAGCTGAACAGGAGCCATCGAGCACTCCTCCCAACTCACTGTGATGCCGAGCAGGTCCCCCGTCAGTGCACTAGCTCCCGAGCCCGCTGTTCGCTTGTCGCCAGCTCGATCCTCTCCTCCAGCTGTTGACGCGTCCATGCTCGTCGATCTGACGGATGACTAGATTTAGGATTTTCGTTTTTGATTTTTTGTATTTTGTCTCTTCATTTTTGTATTAATCAATGGATTTGTTCCATATGTACCTCAAATGTAAACTTCCTTGATGAAATACAAACATGAATTTTCTTTAGAAAATCTTGTTACATTTTCTGTATTTTGCCATTTACAACTACTGTATAACAACTTCAATGATAACAATACACATGTTAACTGTAAAATTTTCTAAGGTTGTGTATGTTCCAAATGTAAGGTAATTGACGCCCTTGTATATCTACTAACATGTAAGATCCATGTCGTTTAACTTGAACAACCATATAGGGACCTTCCCAATTAGAAGCGAGCTTGCCCATGTGGGTTCAAGTATTGGTTAGTCCCGCTTTGCGTAATACTAGGTTGCCGACCTAAAACTGACGAGCCCGAACTCTTTTATTATAAAATTTAACAACACGACTTTGATCCGCCATGTTTCTTATTTGAGACATCTCCCTGATCTCTTCTACAAGGTCTAGGTTCTCTCTTAAAAGCTGCTCATTGTGATCGTCATTGTGCCGATCTGCTCTATCAGATGGCAATCCAATCTCTATAGGGATAACTGCCTCGGCCCCATAGGCAAGGCTGAATGGAGTTTCACCTATGGCCGAGCTAGGTGTAGTGCAACATGACCAAAGCACTTTATTGAGCTCGTCAACCCAATTAGATTGTGTGGCTAGCACACGTATCTTAAGGCCTCGCAGCACTATCTTATTGCGGACTCAGCTTGTCCATTTGACTGTGGGGTATATACAGAGGTCAAGGCAAGCTCAATGCCATAGTCACTGCAGAACGATCTCAGTGCCGCGGCTCGGAACTGCGAACCATTGTCAGCGATAATCCACTTAGGTATACCGAACCTGTACACAGATGATTGAACTAAGCCACAAATTATATTTGTATATAATGTACCAATGACTTAAGTCACCAAAGAATACTTGCACAATATTGAATTGAACAAGAATTCTTCTATTTTCTTTTCTGTTGTCATGGACGATGGTTTAGCTTCTATCCATTTGGTGAAATGATCTACCACGACAACGAGATAAGTGCAACCTCCTTTGCCTTTGACAAAAGTGCCGAGGAGGTCGACTCCCCATTGAGCAAAAGGCTAGGGAGATGAGAGTGATGAGAGCAATTCCCCTGTTTCCACGAAGATACTTATGCTCAATTTAGAGACAAACATGAAGTTTGCACGAACTTTAGAACGAGCTCAGATACTTGGCATGTGTATGTCATCAGCGTTGAACTGGCAGGTCAGGCATTTTTTGACATAATTCTGCACGTCCTCAACCATAGTTGGCCAGTAATACCCGCCTCAGGAGTTTCCGAGCTAAAGTCTTGCCACCTATGTGTGTGCCACATACTCCTTCATGAACTTCCCTCACGGCGTATTCATCTTCATAAGGAGTGAGGCAGCGTAATAGAGGCATTGAGGCTGCTCGCTTGTAGAGTTGATTATCTACCAAAGTGAAATGTGCCGCCCTGCGTCTAACCAACCTTGCAGCAGACGTATCTCCAGGTAGCTCGCCACTTTGCAAATAATTAATGAGTGGGGCAGTCCAGCTTGGTGAGGAGGGATCAGTGCTTAGCAGCTGACACTCAATTGTGAAATCTGTGTAGCTCGAGGCATCGAGCACCTCGACAATTGTTGATCTCTCAGGGTTAAGGTCCTGCGAAAAGGCCAACTTTGACAGCTCATCAGATCGGTGGTTATCTGCCCTTGGTATTTTGTCGATTTGAAAAGAAACAAATCCTAACTTTATTCGGTTGACCACAGAAGCATAACGACTGAGCTAGGGATCCCTGATTTCACAACTGCCCTTCACCTGGCCCACAACGAGCTGAGAGTCACTAAAAACCTGAATGCTCTGTACCTTCAGCTCGGACGCTAGCTTCAATCCATAAATGAGGGCTTCATATTCTGCAGCATTATTAGTTGTTTGGAACTTAAATCTCAGTGCGTGTTCGGATTTAAAGCCATCTGGCCCCAATAGTACAGCCCTAGCACCCGATCCTTCAACATTAGCAGCTCCATTTACATACAAAACCCAGACTGGGTGTTCAGGTGTCTTTTCTTTCACGGTCGCCGAGACACATTCCACCAGGAAATCTGCCACAGCCTGGCCTTTTATAGTCGTGCGCAGCTGAAATTTGAGGTCGTACTCACTCAGCTCGACGCTCCATCCGATAAGCCAACCAGAGAGTTCCGGCTTCTGCAGTATCTTTCTCAATAGCAAATCCGTATAAACAACAATCTGATGTGACTAAAAGTAAGCTCTCAATTTTCGAGCCATGTATACCAAGGCAAAAGTAACATTTTCTGCTAGTGGGTAGTTCTGCTCGGCGCCTTGTAAAACCTTGCTCACATAGCAGATGGGCTTCTGATTCCTATTCTCTTCTCTGAGTAGGACCGAGCTCACCGCCTCCTCTGTAACCCCCAGATATAGGCATAAACTCTCCCTTTCTATAGGCTTGAACAGTAGGGGTGCAGATGCTAAATACTGCTTGAGCTCGTCAAACGCCCGCTGACACTCGTCGGTCCATTGAAAGTGCTTGGGCTCTCGCAGGGCTTTGAAGAACGGCAAGCACCTTTCCGTCGACCTGACTATGAATCTGTGCAAAGCGGCTACATGACCTATCAGGCGCTGCACATCCTTTACGGTCTTGGGAGGCTCCATCTGCTGAACGGCCTGAACCTTCTCTGGATTTACCTCAATTCCTTTCTTGGATACTACGTACCCTGGGAATTTTCCTGATTCTACAGTAAATGTGCATTTCAAGGGATTCAGCTTCATTTGGGCTCGGCGCAAGTTTTGAAAGGTCTCACTCAGGTCGCCTATATGATCCTCAGCTCGCACGCTGGTAACAATCATGTCATCCACATACACTTCTATGTTTCTGCCGATCTGGAGCTTAAAGATGATTTGCACCAGCTTTTGATACGTAACACTAGCATTTTTCAAGCCAAACGGCATCATCACATAACAATAAATTGCATCACTAGCGTAGAAAGCTGTTTTCTCCTGGTCGTCCAACAGCAACTGAACCTGGTGATAACCAGAACTAGCATAGAGGAAGCTCATTCGTTCATGCCCGGCTGCCCGCTCTACTAGCTTCTCAACATTTGGCAAGGGATGAAGGTCTTTTGGACATGCCTCATTTAAGTTGGTGAAGTTAATACACATCCTCCACTTGCCGTTTGGTTTTTTGACGAGCACAGGGTTGGATACCCACTTAGAATATTCCACTCTCCTAATGAAGCCTGCCTGTAGCAGCTTTTGTATCTCTTCGTATATGGCAGCTTGCTTCTCAGGGCCAAAAAGGCAATGTTTCTGAACCACCGGCTTTCTGGTGGGGTCCGTGCTGAGCTTGTGGACTGTCAACTCCACTGGGATGCTAGGCATTTCATCCATAGTTCACGCAAACACGTGCTGATTAACCCTCAAAAACTCCAAAAGCTCTGCCCGCTCTTCTTCTGTGAGCCTGGTGCCGATCTTAACTGTCCTCTCTGGCACATCAGGATTTAAAGGGACCGTTTCCACCGATTCTACCGGCTCAGCCTTCTGCTGGACACCCTCAGGTCGGTGTTCGATATCTGATATGCTCATTGTCTGTTGACCGAGTGGGACTGGCCTGTGATTTTCAGAACTTGCAGGGGCAGCGGTGAGCTCAACCTTTTTGAAAGTATCTTGATAGCATGCCCTAGCCATCTTCTGATTCCCTTTAAGCACTCCTACCCCTTGAGAAGTTGGGAATTTCATGCTGAGATGGGGTTGCGAGATGACAACCTTCAGCTCGCAAAGAGTGGCTCTTCCCAATATAGTGTTGAAGGCTGACTCCATCTTGACGACCAGGAAGGTAACAGAAGCCATCCTGAATCGTGGTTCCAAGCCCACATAGATGGGAAGGGTAATAACTCCTTCAACCGGGATGGGCTGATTGTCAAACCCATATATAGGCCCTTCGTGCTTCTGCAGCGAGCTCGGATTCAGTTGCATTTTTTGAAAGCAACTCCAGTATAAGATGTCCGGTGAATTGCCAGTGTCGATGAAGACCTTGTTGACGTTATGGTTGCCTATATGAACTGTTGCCACAAAAGGATCTGCATGTGGCATCATAACGTCGGGCTCTCCGTCTACTTGCTTGTAATCTGTCGGGCTGAATATGATGGGAGCATTTTCCCAATCTGCTTCTTCAAATGGGCATTTCAAAGGCCTATTCTTATTAACGGTCATCACCTGGCGTGCATGTGCTTTACGACCTCGGGCGCTTTGGCCTCCGGAGTGAACACCACCTGATATCATATTTATCATACCAGAGGGCGGGGGTATCCCAGCATAGCCTACCCTTTTCTTGTCTTTCTGGCTCTGGGTGGTAGTTCTCTGTCCTTGGCCTCGCCTATTGAATTGACGTCCCCTGTATGCCCTGCCTTGCTCAGAAGGATACTGGTTATCCTGATACGCATCCTGTGCGCCGCCGAGCTGGTACCTCTGCCCATGAGGTCAGTCATACCCCTGTACAAAATGAACTTGAGCGGGCTGTGCGGGTTGTGCGGGCTGCTGGGTATGGAGCTTCTGCACATATCCTTATAGCTTCCCATTGTGAGCCAAGAACTCCAGCTCGTCCTTTAAGTGTTGACAATCTTTTGTATTGTGACCGTATACACGATGGTAGTCACAATGCTTGCTCTTGTCAGCCCTTGGGGAATCGTGCAGTGGGGGTGGGGTTCTCCTAACCCAGTGCTAGATTTGTGCCAGGATTTGAGACCTTGGCAAGGTCAAAGGAATGTAATTGGCATACTTTGGGAAGTCGGCGGGCTTCCCCCACTGCTCGTTGACCTTTTGCTTTTTCTTTTCTTCTCTCCTCGGTGGCTGTTCCTTGCCTTTGCTCTGCTTATCGTCAGCTCGTCGCTTGGACGACTGGAAGTCTTCGGACAGTATGAAGCTAGCTGACCTGTCATTCACTTCATTCCACATCTTCGGTGGGTTTTCTAGCAGGTCGTCCAAGAACTGACCTTGCTTCAAACCATGCAGCAAGGCAAACAAGCAGATGGTATTCGGGACGTTATCAATGTCTAGACTGGCCTTGTTGAACCGCTGCATGTAGTCCCTCAACGATTCCCCTTCTTTCTGGTGGACTTGCATTAGCTCGGTCGCTGTGCGTTTAATCTCCCTATGGCTCGCAAATTTGTTGGAGAATAGCTTGGCGAGCTGGGAGTATGAGTCTATAGAGTGTCTGGGGAGTTTATGGTACCATCTTCTGGCCGTTGACTTCAGTGTCGTTGGAAACACTTTGCACATCATGGCATCATTAGCATTTTGAATTCTCATGATGGCTTGATAGGTGTGCAGATGCTCATCTAGGTCGCTCGAGCCGTCATACGTCTCCAGTTGGGGAATTTTGAATCCCTCTTGATACGGTTCTGCTGTGATGGATAGGTTTAGTGGGACACTATCCAAATCGAGGGTCTATTGGTGCGACCTGGGACTTTTCAGCTCGTTAATGGATTTTTGTACATCCCGCAGTTGTCTTTCAAGGTCAGCGTTTTTTCTCATCAGTTCTTCACTATGCTTGGACGAGCTAGGTTCGTTATTTGACTTCTCACTTCCCCTTGGTTTGGTCGACACTGCTATATTGCTTAGAGCGAGGGAATTTAGAGTAGCAACAACCGCAGCGGGTTGTGCATCCTTGTTTAACAGTGGAATCAGGGGGTCATCAGGAATCAGACGGGCAAGGATTTTACCCATTGCCAGTTCGAGAACTCTGGTTCTCTCTTCGAGCTCGGCTGTTCGAGCAGGCTCTGTTGACCTTTTAGGTCATTCACGTTGTGAATTGTGTGGTCTAGGGTGTCTTTGCCTTGCTCTTGTTGGAATTTGGAATTGTTCGGGCTGGGTTGCATACCCCGTTGGTGTTCTTTCATCATCATCTGTTTCACTCAATTGATCCTATTCTGCTCCTCCTACAAAGAGGTTTCTCGGCATTGGCCTAAAATCATTCAAGCCGAGCTCAAACAATTGAGTATCATCCTAGTCGTCCATTTCGTTTCTTGGAGGGTGACTTCCAGTAAAGGTTTGAACAATCTTGTCTTTCAACTAGTTAAGCTACACAACTCTTCGTTCAGTTTCCCATAGACGACGCCAAATGTTTGGGCAACTTCGCAATCCAACACTGTTGAAGTCCTCCGCTACTTCTACACCTGAAAATCCCGAGGACGTTTCCTCTGGGAAAACACTCAAACGCTCAAGTCAGCAATACTTAATATTCTAGAGAGAGATGATCTTAAGGAGTAATTGCAGAGAGAGAAGCGTAGAGATTAATTACCTTCATCGGAGGTAGTTGGGGGGTATTTATAGCCCTTGGTGCTAACATGCATCTGTAGATGTAAGCATATGTAGATGTAAGCATCTCATTGGCCCACGTGGCACTGGGCACGTGGGTATGCTTGCACTAGTGCTCCCTCAACTCGGGCTAATTGGCGGCGGCCTAAGCCCGTTATGCACAACCCAATTTGGATGTTGGGCCTATTCCAACAACTCCAAAACTTAAATATACACCAAATTAGATGTTTAAAGAGCAAATCTTAAATTAAATAAAGAGAAATTATTTTATTGTTTAGGTATTTAAGGCTTTTTAAT